CAAGGTAAGATGATTAGTCCTAAACTGATTGAGTTGCAGCATTTACAATATTTGGACCTTGCATTCATTGATTTCAATGGGAGCCAAATTCCAGATTTCATTGGTTCTCTAACCAGTCTAAGGTACCTCAATCTCAGTTTCTGTTATTTCATTGGTCCAATTCCAAGTTCGTTTCGAAACCTCACGCAATTGCAACATCTCGACCTCTACTATAATTGGCGGCTTCAAGCAGAAAATCTCAATTGGCTCCCTGCTCTTTCTTCTTTAACGTATTTGGACCTTTCATTCATTGATTTCAATGGGAGTCGAATTCCAGATTTCATTGGTTCTCTAACCAATCTAAGAAACCTCAGTCTCAGTTCCTGTAATTTCATTGGTCCAATTCCAAGTTCGTTTGAAAACCTCACGCAATTGCAAAATCTCGACCTCAGCGATAATCAGCTTCAACCAGAAAATCTCAATTGCCTCCCTGCTCTTTCTTCTTTAACTGATTTGGTCCTAAGCGGAAGCTTCAATGGGAGCCAAATTCCAGATTTCATTGGTTCTCTAACCAATCTAAGAACCCTCCGTCTCCGTTCCTGTCATTTCATTGGTCCAATTCCAAGTTCGTTTGAAAACCTCACGCAATTGCAAAATCTCGACCTCAGCGATAATCAGCTTCAACCAGAAAATCTCAATTGGCTCCCTGCTCTTTCTTCTTTAACGGATTTGGACCTAAGCGGAAACTTCAATGGGAGCCAAATTCCCGATTTCATTGGTTCTCTAACCAATCTAAGGTACCTCAGTCTCAGTTCCTGTCATTTCATTGGTCAAATTCCAAGTTTGTTTGGAAACCTCACGCAATTGCAAAATCTCGACCTCAGCAATAATCAGCTTCAACCAGAAAATCTCAATTGGCTCCCTGGTCTTTCTTCTTTAACGGATTTGGACCTAAGCGGAAGCTTCGATGGGGGCCAAATTCCCGATTTCATTGGTTCTCTAACCAATCTAAGAAACCTCCGTCTCAGTTTCTGTAATTTGGTCGGTCAAATTCCAAGTTCGTTTGGAAACCTCACGCAATTGCAAAATCTCGACCTCAGCTATAATCAGCTTCAACCAGAAAATCTCAATTGGCTCCCTGCTCCTTCTTCTTTAATGTATTTGTACCTAAGCGGAAACAATCTCAGTACTGTTTTCGATTGGCCAGAAGCAGTACTTAATAAGCTCCCTAAACTAGTAGCGTTGACCTTGGTGAATTGTAGTCTTCCTCCTCCTCCTACTCCAATTCTTTCCACTACTCTTTACAAAACAAATTCTTCTACATCTCTTGCGTATGTTTCTCTCTCTGACAACCATCTCACTTCTTCAATATTTCTTTGGTTGTTCAACTACAGTACAAGCCTTGTTCGTCTTTACCTCTCCAACAATAATCTATCTGGTTTCATTCCCAATTTCATTGGAAACATGAGCTCGCTTGTGAATCTGGATCTCTCCTACAATAATCTAACTGGTTTCATTGCCAATTTCACTGGAAGCATGAGCTCTCTTAGGTATCTGCATCTCTCCAACAATTATCTAACTAGTTTCATTGCCGATTTCACTGGAAACACGAGCTCTCTTGTGGATCTGCATCTTTCCTACAATAATCTAACTGGTTTCATTGCCAATTTCACTGGAAGCATGAGCTCTCTTGGGTATCTGGATCTCTCCAACAATTATCTAACTAGTTTCATTGCCGATTTCACTGGAAACATGAGCTCTCTTGTGGATCTGGATCTCTCCAACAATAATCTAACTGGTTTCATTCCCAATTTCATTGGAAACATGAGCTCTCTTGTGTATCTGGATCTCTTTGATAACCATATTGAAGGTGCGAATCCAAATTCGTTTGCAAGGCTGTGTAATTTGGAAATATTGTCGCTTCAAAGAAATCATCTGAGTGGACAATTATCCAAGTTTGTTCAACTATTGCCTAGATGTGGGCAAAACTCATTAAGGGGTCTGCACCTCTCTGAGAATGTTCTTAAGGGGTCATTAAACAATCTTACAAGCTTCTCATCTTTGAAATTCTTGAATCTTAGTGCCAATCAATTAAGCGGAAACATACCTGAAAGTATTGGGCAAATGTCGCAACTATGGAGAATCGATTTCAGCATGAACTCTTTGGAAGGGGTGGTTTCAGAAACTCATTTCTCAAAACTCTCCGAATTAAAATATTTGGATTTATCCTCTAACTCACTAGTTTTAAATTTCCATTCTGATTGGGTTCCTCCCTTCCAGTTATATTTCATAGTTTTGGGGTCTTGCAAGATGGGTCAACATTTCCCAAAATGGCTTCAAACTCAAAAAGATTCTTTCGAGCTTGATATTTCGAATGCTGGAATTTCTGATATCCTTCCAAGTTGGTTTTGGAGTAATTTTCGTAACGCAGAGGTTATTAATCTCTCACGGAACCTAATTAGAGGAATATTTACAAATTTGACAGTGGAGTTTGAAGGTCCAATTCCCTCAACTATATCACAAGCCTCATATCTGGATCTCTCTAATAATAACATTTCGGGGTCGCTTTCTTTCCTATGTGCAAATACATATATGAGTTTAACATATCTTAATCTTTCAAGCAACAGTCTTTCTGGAGAACTTCCAGATTGCTGGAGCCATTTGGAGACTCTAGTCATGCTTGATTTGAGTAACAACGCTTTTTCCGGAAAAATTCCCATGACAATAGGCTCTTTATTTCAAATGCAAACTTTGAAATTAAGAAGCAACCAATTTGTTGGAGAATTGCCTTCATCGTTCAAGAACTGCACAAGTTTAGAAGTTATTGATCTGGGAGATAATAAATTATCAGGACCAATACCTACATGGTTAGGTGTGAGCTTCAAGAATTTGGCTATCCTGATGCTTTCCACTAATCACTTCAATGGAAGCATGCCCTCACAATTATGCCATCTAACACACATTAAAATTATGGATTTCTCTATGAACAACATCTCTGGAAGCATACCCAAATGCCTCAACAATTTGACTACTCTGGCTCAAAAAGGAAATCCAAGTTTATCCAGCAAACATATTTATCCGAGGTTTAATAAGACAACTGGTCCTACTATTTATGAGGATGATGCAAGCTTCATATGGAAAGGAAGAATGCAGACATACAAAAGCACTTTGGGCCTTGTGAAGAGAATTGATCTCTCAAGCAATAGATTAACAGGGGAGATTCCAAGTGAAATCACTCATCTTGTTGGGTTGATTTCTTTAAACCTTTCGAGAAACCAGTTAATAGGTCAAATAACTCTAGAGATTGGAAACTTGCAGTCATTGGATTCGCTTGATTTATCAAGAAACCATATAGATGGAGGAATTCCGACAAGCCTTGCTCGGATAGATCGTCTTAGTTTCTTGGACTTGTCATATAACAACTTGTCTGGCAAAATACCAACAGGCACTCAGCTCCAAGGCTTTGATCCCTCTGTTTATGTTGGAAATCCTCAACTCTGTGGACCTCCGCTTAAAAAGATGTGTGCCGATCAAAATGAGAAAACTGACTTGAGCAATCAAGAGGATGAGGATGAGCTTATAACACTGGGATTTTACATCAGTATGGGGCTTGGCTTTGCTGCTGGATTTTGGGGAGTTTGTGGCACTTTGATATTCAACAGGTCATGGAGATATGCATACTTTACGTTCTTGAATGGTTTAAATGATTGGCTTTATGTGACGGTAGCTTTGATCAAGCGGCAACTAAAGCTAGCATATGCTTAATAGATAAGCTCGTGACGGTACTCTTTCTCTCTCATCATTAGTTTCGTTTTATAATTATTTTCTTATTGCATTTTTTCTTTTCTCCAAATTGACGAGTATTAATTTGTTTACTTTGATATTTAGCTGTATCATCTAAATTAGGAGAAAAGTAGCTGTAGCTGAATGCCTCCTTTCAGTTCAAGTGGTGAAGATTGCCAGTATACGCGCACGCACAGATATTTGGAGAAGAGTTTACGAGTTAATTTGGAGTGTTTAGTAGGAATAAATATGAATTATATTAGTGTTAATTACTTGTTAGAACAATTAATTCGGAGTTCTCCGATTAATGTTTTTTTTGTTGAGAGAAATAAACATATCCATTTTAATCCAAGCTCACTCCGATTAATGTATTAATTCCAACTATAGTGTTATTTTAATTAACTAAGCCAAAGCGGACTTGATTTCAAATTACAATGTGTGGCTCTGTTTTGGTCATCTATTTGCAACATACAGCTTCTCCTTGTAAATGTGTGGCTCTGTTTTGGTCATTCTTTCGTTTCAGAATTCAACATCTTGTTCTGGCCATATGGTAGAAGATGCCTTTTTGTAAACAGACTTTTTGTATTTGGTCAGGCTTATTGCAATGCTCTATTTTGTGGATTTTAAGATTGTATTAGGCTTACTTGTGATCTGCAAAATGCCTTGTACCGAAGTTTATGTATAAAATGTGTGCTAAATCTTGTGTGTGGAGTACAAGATTGAAGGTCTTCCTGGAAAAGCAATCACAAGCAATTTTCTCTCTTTTCAATTGTAGAAATGTTCAAGTTCTTGCCAATTACTTGCAAATATATAGTGTTGTGTAGCATAAAGGCTCCAACATATGCAATTCCATCAAGGCCTGCAGGCCAATCACTGCTTTCTCTTGGATATTACAAACATTTGTAGAGCCATAATGAAAACTTGGTAGGCAAACCCAAATACTCGCATTGACTATTTGCTTAAACTTGATAGGCTAGCAAGGGGCTTGTAGCTCAAGCGGTTAAGAGCATCTATCCCTGCACTCGAGGTCCTAGATGTGATACCCTCCTCCCAATATCGCTTGTAACCAAAAACAAACAAAAAACTTGATAGGCCAGACCCAGTCCCAGATGAACCTGGTTTTCATAAATTTGTTGGTCAGCTTGATAGTGGCTTATTAGAAGTCCAAATTGGTTGGGAAAGTAATGTCCACCAATTTTAGCAGATACCCTTTTGGACAATGTTGAACAGAGCACTTGATTGTTAATGACTAGGGCCCCAAGGGTATGTTCTAGGTATGCTACCTTATGCCTAAAATAACCCTTTTGTTGTGATGATCTTTAAAGGGTGACCAAGAACGACCATTACACACTGGATTCTTGGGTAAGTTTTTTATTTTGTTTTCAAGCAGGGAAGTCCGTTAGATGTTTTTTTAATGATTTTTTGTGCTATTAGGAGCAGAAACTGAGTAGGGAAATTTGATTAAAAGACCATTCATTCGGGTTCCTGAGATTGGAAATTGGAACTCTTTTCCTTACTCGATTTCAAATCTATGTTTGGAACAGCTAGTCAATATGGGATAATAGCCTGAATAATTGTAGGCTCTTACCCCACGTGGATCAGCTCACTTCATCCCATCGAGATCCATGTAGCCTTAATTGTATTTCTAACTCAAGCAGTCTGAGCGATTTGTCAGATGAGAGCAACAATCAAAGTGGGATTTATGGTTGTCCAAACGTTGATGTTGGTAGTGGTGTAAGCACTGTTATTGACCCTTCTGTTTCAAATACCATACTGGTACTGGATGAGTTTTCTACACTAAAGAATGCAGATTACCACAACCCCTCAGATTGCTTGGTTGGTAACCTGAGCTCGAGCCAGGATCTTCAGTCTCAGTTTACCTCTGCTAGCCTAGGCGACTCCCAGGCTTTCTCCAGGCAAGACCTGGCAGACAACTCAGGTGTTTCCAGCTTGATGGTGCCTGATTTATTGATCTTACTGTGCATTCAGAAAACTCAAGCAAGGTCAGTTGATGCGGCTACTAGTGTACTTTAGCTTTTGTGCTTTAAGTGGGTTTGATGTATTATTAGTTAGCAGGAAGTGAAACTAGATGAGGAAACTGTACTAGTGTACTTAGAACATTTGTGCTTGATGTAACTTTTATGTTGGTACCGTGACTAATCGAGCAACTAGGAGTCCCATATCGGAAAATTACAAGAGATGGAGAATCCACTTCACCTATAAAAGAAGACTACTCTCCCCTTAGAAAAAGGGGCCCTCTCTTCAGGACTCTCCTGCTAGTCTGGCCTTCGGGTCCTGGGTTTCCAGATCTTAGGACTTGACCCCTGGGTTTCCTAGCTTTGTACCTTAGGCCCTAGGCCTTCTTCCATTTATCTTTGGGTCTAATCCCCTTGTACAAATGTAAACAAACATTATCATAATGAGAACATCTTCTCCGTGGACGTAACCCATAATTTGGGTGAACCACATATAGCTTGTCTTCTGCATGCTTATTTATTTTATATCTACTAAACATGGCATAGTTGACGCAAACTATAGACATAAGGTACCTCCGGTCTCTAAAAGAGGTTATAAAACTAAATGGTTTATTTATCCATACTTTTCTTGGCTTAAAGCCTGAAGCCACAGAATTGAAATTACCAGTACAAAGATATTTGATAATTGATTCTTCAACTTCTTGGGGGAAAACCCAGACCATGATAACAAGCTAGGATCAGAGAAGGTCATACATCAAATATTGAATGCTACAGTCAAGAATACACTATGATTCTTTCATTTCCTAACAATTCATTGTCCAGAGAACAGAACAGCTAATATCTCCTAAAGTAGAAATCAAGAAATAAAATAGCTTTTAAATTACACAACAGATTCTACCCCCAGCTTGCTTGCAGTAAGGAAAATAAGCAATTGATGATTCCCTTATTGCGACGTTGAAGGAATTTCACGAGGATGTTAAAAAGTAATGAAGCCACACAAATTTTGTGCTCTCAAATGTCAAAAATTAGCTCAAGTAATTACAAGATATTCACATTGAATCCATACAGAAAAACCAAAAGCAGCAGATGACACACATATCAAGCACGTCGCTTACTAAGATGCCAATAATTACAAGATATTCACATTGAATCCATACAGAAAAACCAAAAGCGACAGATGATACACATATCAAGCACGTCTCTTGCTAAGACGCCAAGAGTTAGGTTCATGGTATCTATCATATAGCGGTTCAATACGTTCTTGAAGCTTGCGCTTGCTCATCTTGGTGGGATCTGCCACTTTGAAGAACCTGGGTGCCAGTTCCACGAGCCATTTGGGGTCGACGACCGTCACCTCACGCATGTACTCCTTTGTGGTCATAACCAGCTCATGGTAGATCACCCAATCTGGTTGTCTCTGGAAGAGGGCGCTGCTTGGGTGTATATAAACTGGTTGGTTCTCCACTAGGGTTCTATAACCCTCCTGCGGGTCCTTTCTAGCACCATGGAAGAAAAACCCTGCCGTAATTGCCTTCCTGATCTTTGTAAAATTCTTTCCAGCACTGACAACATCTAGTTTATACCTGAAATTCACAATCTATAGTCAGAATGCAATTTCATCTTCAAATCAGAATACTCAACTTAGAAATCGTTGATCACTGTTATAAACTAAAGCAAGGGCTGCTAGTAGAGACATTGGCATGACAAACTTATGATAGGTTTTTATACACAAACTTATCCTACAGCTTACATGACAAAGTTATGTCAATCAATGAAATCTGTTAATGGCGATGGTAGGATGTGTAATATACTAATATGCCATCTGAATTTCCATATCAACTTTTAAAACAGTTCTGCAATATTTTGTACAAACAACACTTTACCAAGAAAAACAATTCCGGTATCAAAATGACTAACATGTCCGCACAAGAGAGCACATTTGAAGAGCATATACTGGCAATTTAGCTATACACAAAAGGGTAGTTATAATTTATAAAGATACTGTACTTTTTTTTTTTTGGTCGAAATAAAGATACTATACTTAACCACTGAAAAAATGGGGGAAAAAAGCACTACTGCTAATAATGCTCTGAAAACAGTGTATGAGGTAACATCACATGACAATTCGTAATGACCTATTCACTGCTCAGGTACCATATATCTAGATTTTAAAACACAAACTAGGCCTGAACAACATTTCAGCATTTCCGTCAAGTACAGACAGCAAAAGGCATGCCTAATTCACGACTACTGCAAAAATACAACGTACCAAACATGAGCAAACCTAGAACATTAATCTACATCTTTTAAAACCATTCATGCACATGTGAAACCAGAAAAAAGATCCATACAACCACGAATACACATCAAGATAAATTAGAAGAACATACTTGTCCATGATGCTGAGAAGCTGTTTTCTGACATCCTTTGCCCTCCTCAAGGATCAAGACTGAACAAAGTTCTCAAAACACCATGGCCCTGAAAAATTCTTAGCTTTCCATGCCTCATAGACTGCAAGTAAAGTCAGATGATCTCCCTCGGGCTGGAAAAACTTGGCTCTCTTCTGATCTGCCTGGGCTTGTTTTTCCCTAGGCCTGTAAAAAATATTACCAGTCTGAATCATTGCAATGATGGTCAAGATCTCATCACTGCATCCAAGGTCCACACTGGCCAATAGCATCTTAGACAAGGGTGGATCCAGAGGAAACACAGCCATTTTCCTAACCAATTTGGTGAGCAGCCCCTCCTCATCCAGTGCTCCTAAACTGTACAATTGTTCCATGGCAGAAATGAGTGCTTGGGGTGAAGGAGGATCCATAAAATCAAAAGACGAGATCATTTATCCCCATAGCTTTCATCGTAAGTGTAGTAGTCCCAAGATTTATCCTCTGGATTTCTGGAATTGAAGTAGGGGACATCTCATTGCGGTATGCACTCTCGGTGTAGAGGCGGTAACATTTCCCAGGGCCTGTACGCCCAGCACGCCCAGCTAGCTGCTTGGCTGATGCTTGGGAAATTGGAGTTATGACCAGTGAATCTAGCCCCTGCTTTGGGTTATAAACATTTTGCTATGCAAAACCAGGATCAATGACATAAAATATCCCATCAATGGTCAGTGATGCCTCAGCAATATTAGTAGCCACAACTACTTTCCTCTTACCTGGTGGGGCTGGATCAAATATCCTCAACTGCATTTCACTAGGAAGGGCACTATACACTGGTAGGATAATCAACTCAGGGACATTTTTACCAAGACCTTTCATCCTCTCATAAAGAGACTGGCATGCAAAATCAATCTCCTCTTGTCCAGTCAAGAAAAGAAGGATGTCACCTTCAGGTTCTGTCAAGTGTATTTGTAGAACAGTTATTAGAGATGCATCAAGATAGTCACTTTCCGGCTGTTTAGTGTAGAGTATCTCTACAGGAAAAGTTCTCCCAGGGATGGTGAAGATGTTACAGTTGAAGAAATAACCGGAAAACTTCTCCGCATCCAAAGTAGCAGATGTGACAATCAAACGAAGGTCTGGTCTCCGCTTCACAAGCTTCTTCAGTAGTCCAAAAAGAACATCTGTGTGGATTGTCCTCTCATGAGCTTCATCAAGCATGACCACAGAATACTGAGAAAGGTTCTCGTCAATCAAAATCTCCCTAAGAAGCATACCATCAGTCATGTACTTGATGACAGTATCTGGACCAGTGCAATCCTCAAAACGAATTGCATAGCCGACTTCCTCTCCTAAACGACAACCAAACTCTTCGCTGCAATCAATTCTTTCTTCAGCTTGTAGATAGGCAAGCTCTGCCTCTATTCCTGGATTGACAGCTTTGACCTCTGCCCAAAACTGATGGTTTTCCCAAAAGCATCCTTCTTCCACTCAGGCATATCATATGCCGACAAACCAACACCTCTAAGTTCTTGTGCAAGATGCCTCTCACCAGTCTCTGGCATTGGATCTTCCCAGGGACGATTGAGATCCTTTGGGATAGAATCCAACATGGTTCTTTGCTGCTGCTCACGCACTTCTCTACGCTCTTTAATGAGTGCGGACTGAAGTGCAGCTGCACGACCCAGTGACCCTTCTGGATTCTTAAAGATTTTCACAGGTGACATATCAACAGAATACCTACTCTGTCCATTTAAAAAGGCTGGCTCATCCTCATTGAGCTCAATCTCAAGCTCTTCCTCAGCTCCCTCTTCTTGATAAAGCATCCCATCGGTTTCCTCATCATACATAGGATACTCTGTAACACCCAAAACACCTGAGGCAATCAACTGTTTGGCTTCCCACTTCTCTGGCGAGCTCATTCTCTTCAATGGCCGGCGTGATGGGCCAACATCATCCTCTTCCACAATCCTAATCCCAGAAAGACCAGTCCTAGTCACAGGTCCATCCTTTGAAAAAGATGGGTTCGTCCTAAGAGCATCATCCTCTGAGCTCTTCTTCAAGGGGAGCAAATCCTTCCCTGTATGTTGATCAACATCCCTCATCGAAAGGCTCAACTTCTGACCTGAAATTGAAATCACCTTCACATAAACTTCCTGATCCCTCTTCACCACATCCTTAGCATTGCTAATTCGCCGAGTTGCCATTTGTGAAACGTGAACCAGACCCTCCTTCCCTCTTAAATCATTCAACTGAACAAAGCAACCGGTGTCCATCACTCTCGCAACCCTGCCCTTATAAACCTGATACAATTCGGGCTCATCCGAATGGTTCTGGCCATTCTGCTGCAACCGGTGTCCATCACTCTCGAAACCCTGCCCTTATAAACCTGATACAATTCAGGCTCATCCGAATGGTTCTGGCCATTCCGCCGATCCCTATTACCTCTCCTATCATCACCATCTTCCTTACCATCTCCATCGTCTTCATACCCATCTCTCTTATGCTTATTGTATCGATCTGTATGCCTTCCCCTGTCATCACCATCATCATTATAATGTGTATCTCTACGCCTCTCATCTCTATCATACCTTTCCCTTCGCCTCTCCCTCCCATCTCTATCTCTACCTCCTCTGTGTCTATCTCGATCTCTATCTCTATCTCCTTCCCTATATCTATCACTACCTCTACGCCTATCTTCTTCTCGCTCTTCGTCTTGTTCTTCTCTTCTGTTTCGCTTTTCCTTGGTCTCCATCTCAATTTCCTTCTCGATGTCCTTGACTCTATCTTTATTATCGGCGACTGCCAAAGCCTTAAACTTGGTCTTCCTGCCATCAGAAGAACTCTCTTTCTTCAAGTCCTTCTCCAGGATTTGGCTTCGGTGGAAGGATAGCGTGAATGATAGTGAGGAGTGTACGGACAAAGTAATCGGGCATCTCGGCACCGTTTTTCTTTAATTTGGCTCCACCGTCTCGCAGTTTCGTCCCAACTCAGTGATGAACTCCGCCAGAACTTTGTCCCCAACCCCTATATGGGTTTCGAGCTCTGAACAGACCTTGGAAACCAAGGAAAGGTACTCGAGCTTCTTCAAACCATCTTCCGTGGCAGCCATTATGAACTTGCAGAGGTCCTATTCATATTCAATACAAAAAAATCATGTCAATAGAAATTTCAAAATTTATGAGAAGATGCATAAACCGCATAAGATGAACTTGCACAGGCCCTATTCATATTCAACACAAAAAAATTCATATCAAAGGAAATTTCAAAATTTATGAGAAGATCATTGCTATATACTTTTAATCAGTAGCATAAACTTCAAAATTCATGAATGATAAATTTATCACAATAAAGAAACAATTTCTTGAACTTCAAACTCAAGAAGGATCTGGAGAGTTAATTCAACTAATAATAAAGTAAACTTGGAATGCCAAAAAAAATTCAACTAAAACCCTGTAGAGCATAAAACCCAGGAAATAAGAGACGGAAGAGAACAAAAAAGAAATATGAAACAAAATCAAGGAAACTGATCGTTGCTAGAGGGTAGGGGTTCAGTGGATCTTAAATCTGTGATGAGATGGCGTCCGAGATTAGAATATATCGCAGTAAGACATCATAATTGGGATGAGATGAGATCGAAGATGGTTGCGCATCAACAGTTGTCACTGTCGAGAAAGAGGAGAGCTGAGCAATATGCATATGGGGGGAAGACGGCGTCGAAAAATGGAGGAGTTGACGGTTGAGATGGGCGGATTGTTCGTCGCTGACGGCTGGAGCGTTTCTGTTTCACAAATAATCTCAACTTAGATGAGGGATTTTAGCGATTAGGGTTGAGAACTTGAGTTGGAGTGCGCCTGGTGTATCGATACACCTAAATTTGGGAACTGTGAAACTAGAGAACTTATAAGTAAAAACTTAAGGCAAAAACTTATAAGTAATATAATATAATATCATTTATCTTTCCAAAGGCAAAAACTTATAAGTAAAAATTTAAGTCCTACAAAAGAAATAAGTAATCTAATAAATTTTACATATGAAATAAAAAGATGAGGAAAATTTTATAAAATATAGGTGGGAGATTTTTTTTTTTTTGGCTTAAATGTCAAAATGGTCCCTGTGTTTTACCTCATCGGCCAATTTAGTTCCCGTGTTATCAATTTGGCCAATTTAGTCCCTGTGTTTCTATATGTTAGCAAATGTGATTCTTTCCGTCAAAATTTTGTTAAAATTGAAAAAAATTAACATTAAAATTAATTTAAAAAATTGTAATTAATTATTAAATATCCAAATTCAATCTAAAAATGAAATTAAAATTAATTTGTACGGTAAAACCAATATTAATGGTTCCTATATGTATTAGTGACTAAACTTAGAGAGGCATATCGTAATTACCAGACAAGGAGCTAGCATATGGAAATTTGCAATTGCATATTAATTTATTTTTTAATGGTCATAGAATTTTATGCATAAAAGACACAAGCATATATAGCCAAGGATATTTTAACACTATTTTCCACCTCAATGATATTTTAACTGGATTTTCTGTATATTTCAAAATAAAAAACTAAATTACATAACTTTAGGTCTATATCTAAAACAAACTCAGTCTTCAAAACATCATTAGGTTACAACATAAAATATAAAACATAAAAATCAGTCTCAACACGTCTCATCTCTCACAAGAAACAAAGATTATGTATTAACATAAGAACCAGATCCATAGGCTGGGTAATATGGCAAACTGATTACTCTAACCAAGAACGGAAACCTTTGAAAGAATTGCACTATAACACCAAAAACATTGAAAGATGTATTATTCAAATAATCACAAAAACATTGAAAATAAATAATAATGGTCAGGTAATGATAAAATAAAATTGCTCAATTCCCTGTGCGTGATATCTAAAATGAGTTAAGAGTATTGTAGTACCAAGCACTAGCAGAAACCATAAAAGTATTGATATCAAAAAAATCGAATACAAACATAAAAGAAACATATGCAAATAGAAGGAAAAAAAAAGAAGATATTTAGTCATATACGCATTCTTAGCACTAAAATTATAAATAAACCCTACATCATTTAATTTCTATAAACAAACCAAAAACAAAAACAAACAAAAATGACAGTTGGCCATATTGAATTTAATTTAAATTACTTTGAAGCCCTATTGAGTGTTTTGGGCTTTTTTTATGAGGTTTTGGAGTTTGGTTTGTTTTAAGAAATTAATGGCAGTTTTGTAATTTAAAAGAAGTTAAAAGCTTTTTTGTTATGTTGTAAATGGACTTTGGGTGTGTTTCTAATTTCATATAGGGTTTTCTTAGAATTTGGGCTCCTATATTGGGTATAATAGTGAATCTCAAAAAAAAAAAAACATAGATGTATAGATTCGCGGTAATATCCATCTAACCAAACTCATCACAGCTTCGAAAATAACTGAAGGAACCAGTAAATTAGCACATAGAAACTTAGAACAAACAAAATCATCTTCCTTGGCTTATCTCAGAATAGAGGGAGGTAACGTAGTAGAGCAACAACCAAACCAATAATAATTACCAACCATTTCTCTTCCTTGGCTTATCCATAAGCTGAATCCCACAAGACTAATTGCACTATACCACCATCAACAACAGAAGTAACAGTGATTAAAAACATAAGCCTAAACTTGATTAGAAAAGAAACATGCATGTATAGGACCAAAAAAATTACAAAGTAATATTGTAGTCCCAAGCACTAGCAGAAACCATTTCCAATTGCAGGTAAAACCTCTTTGAAGATTAATTAAACACAACCAAATTACATGTGATAGATATGTACATAAATAAGCATATGCAGAAAAAAAAAATCTCAAAAGTCTCACAATCCAAAATTCAGAGATTCTTGGTCATGGGACTCATCTCTATGAGACGGTTCCTGACTTCCTGAAGGATATTTTGTATGATGATGCCATGGGTATGTCCAGGCATCGTCTTGTTGCTGCTTAGTTGTTGCTGTGCTGGGCTTTTAGCCCCCTTTGTTACCCAAAAAAAAAAAATTCAGAGATTCCAAAACCAACCAAAACAATCTCTAACCATTCCCCAAAAATAGACACTAACAGACCAAACTTTTTTTTTCTTCATATTTCCAGCTACCTCCGCAAAGAAATTGACAAACAGAAAAGAAATAAGAACATAAAAAGAGCTATAAACTCAATCAAGGAATGATCGTTGCTAGAGTGTGGGGGTTTCAGTGGATGTTAAATTTGTGATGAGATGGGGTCTAAGATTTGAATATACACCAGTAAGACATCATACCTGGGCTGAGATGAGATAAAAGATGGAGCACGCAGTTTCCATCAAGACGTCGTCACTATCGACAGACAGAGGAGAGCTGAGCAATCTGTATATCGGAGGAAGACTCAGTCAACGCCTTCAAGAAATAAAATATAAATGAGATTTACCTGCTACTTGTAACAGTTTTAAAAAAAAATGGCGCACCGGTGCGCACCGTAGACGTTGCCCTTGTTAGAGACCATGTCGGATTGTATTCGTATTGAAAAATTGAAAACTCCCATGGGCCATGACAAAACATGCATAGAGCCCAACCTGGCCATTTTCGTGGGTTACAAAAATGATATTGGCCCTAGAATCTTTTAAGATCCCCTCATTAATCTTGGACCCAGTGCGACAAACAAAATATGATATTGGCCCTAGAAATTTCTTCCTATGTGACTCGCGGGCCTTGGGGTCTTGATTAAGTTTTTCCTTCATTTTTATTTTTATTTAACACAATATTGGCCGGTTCTCGTCAATCAAAATCTCGCTAAGAAGCATACCATCAGTCATGTACTTGATGACAGTATCTGGACCAGTGCAATCCTCAAAACGAATTGCATAGCCGACTTCCTCTCCTAAACGACAACCAAACTCTTCAGCAACCCTCTTGGCCACAGACATGGCAGCCACCCTACGTGGCTGTGTACAACCAATCTTACCCATTGTCGTGTAACCCGCTTCTGCAAGATACTGCGTTACCTGTGTTGTCTTACCCGAACCAGTCTCACCAATGACGACAAGCACTTGGTTCTCATGCACTGCTGCAATCAATTCTTTCTTCAGCTTGTAGATAGGCAAGCTCTGCCTCTATTCCTGGATTGACAGCTTTGACCTCTGCCCAAAACTGATGGTTTTCCCAAAAGCATCCTTCTTCCACTCAGGCATATCATATGCCGACAAACCAACACCTCTAAGTTCTTGTGCAAGATGCCTCTCACCAGTCTCTGGCATTGGATCTTCCCAGGGACGATTGAGATCCTTTGGGATAGAATCCAACATGGTTCTTTGCTGCTGCTCACGCACTTCTCTACGCTCTTTAATGAGTGCGGACTGAAGTGCAGCTGCACGACCCAGTGACCCTTCTGGATTCTTAAAGATTTTCACAGGTGACATATCAACAGAATACCTGCTCTGTCCATTTAAAAAGGCTGGCTCGTCCTCATTGAGCTCAATCTCAAGCTCTTCCTCAGCTCCCTCTTCTTGATAAAGCATCCCATCGGTTTCCTCATCATACATAGGATACTCTGTAACACCCAAAACACCTGAGGCAATCAACTGTTTGGCTTCCCACTTCTCTGGTGAGCTCATTCTCTTCAATGGCCGGCGTGATGGGCCAACATCATCCTCTTCCACAATCCTAATCCCAGAAAGACCAGTCCTAGTCACAGGTCCATCCTTTGAAAAAGATGGGTTCGTCCTAAGAGCATCATCCTCTGAGCTCTTCTTCAAGGGGAGCAAATCCTTCCCTGTATGTTGATCAACATCCCTCATCGAAAGGCTCAACTTCTGACCTGAAATTGAAATCACCTTCACATAAACTTCCTGATCCCTCTTCACCACATCCTTAGCATTACTAATTCGCCGAGTTGCCATCTGTGAAACGTGAACCAGACCCTCCTTCCCTCTTAAATCATTCAACTGAACAAAGCAACCGGTGTCCATCACTCTCGAAACCCTGCCCTTATAAACCTGATACAATTCAGGCTCATCCGAATGGTTCTGGCCATTCCGCCGATCCCTATTACCTCTCCTATCATCACCATCTTCCTTAACATCTCCATCGTCTTCATACCCATCTCTCTTATGCTTATTGTATCGATCTGTATGCCTTCCCCTGTCGTCACCATCATCATTATAATGTGTATCTCTACGCCTCTCATCTCTATCATACCTTTCCCTTCGCCTCTCCCTCCCATCTCTATCTCTACCTCCTCTGTGTCTATCTCGATCTCTATCTCTATCTCCTTCCCTATATCTATCACTACCTCTACGCCTATCTTCTTCTCGCTCTTCGTCTTGTTCTTCTCTTCTGTTTCGCTTTTCCTTGGTCTCCATCTCAATTTCCTTCTCGATGTCCTTGACTCTATCTTTATTATCGGCGACTGCCAAAGCCTTAAACTTGGTCTTCCTGCCATCAGAAGAACTCTCTTTCTTCAAGTCCTTCTCCAGCTTTGGCTTCGGTGGAAGAATAGCGTGAATGATAGTGAGGAGTGTACGGACAAAGTAATCGGGCATCTCGGCACCGTTTTTCTTTAATTTGGCTCCACCGTCTCGCAGTTTCGTCCCAACTCAGTGATGAACTCCGCCAGAACTTTGTCCCCAACCCCTATATGGGTTTCGAGCTCTGAACACACCTTGGAAACCAAGGAAAGGTACTCGAGCTTCTTCAAACCATCGTCAGTGGCAGCCATTATGAACTTGCAGAGGTCCTATTCATATTCAATACAAAAAAATCATATCAATAGAAATTTCAAAATTTACGAGAAGATGCATAAACCGTATACTATGAACTTGCACAGGCCCTATTCATATTCAACACAAAAAATTCATATCAATGGAAATTTCAAAATTTATGAGAAGATCATTGCTATATACTTTTAATCAGTAGCATAAAGTTCAAAATTCATGAATGATAAATTTATCACAATAAAGAAACAATTTCTAGAACTTCAAACCCACCCACCAAAAAATGAAATTTAAATCTAAAATTGCATAAAAAAAGTAAACTTGGAATGCCAAGAAAAATTCAACTAAAACCCTGTAGAACATAAAACCCATGAAATAAGAGACGGAAGAGAATAAAAAAGAAATATGAAACAAAATCAAGGAAACTGATCGTTGCTAGAGGGTGGGGGTTCAGTGGATCTTAAATCTGTGATGAGATGGGGTCCAAGATTAGAATATATTGCAGTAAGACATCATACTTGGGATGAGATGAGATCGAAGATGGTTGCGCATCAACCGTTGTCACTGTCGAGAGAGAGGAGAGGAGAGCTGAGCAATATGTATATGGGAGGAAGACGGCGTCGATCAATGGAGGAGTTGACGGTTGAGATGGGCGGATTGTTCGTCGCTGAGGGATTTTAGCGATTAGGGTTGAGAACTTGAGTTGGAGTGCGCCTGGTGTATCGATGCGCCTGGTGTATTGATACGACTAAATTTGGGAGCTGTGAAACTAGAGAAACTAATATAATAATAATAATATCATTTATCTTTCCAAAGCAAAAAACTTATAAGTAAAAATTTAAATCCTACAAAAGGAATAAGTAATCTAATAAATTACAGAGAAACTTTAGTAAATAGAAGAATACTAGCCTTTCTGCACGCGCTTTCGTACCTTTGATAGGCTTTTTTTAAAAAAATTTAAAGAATTAAAAAAGATACTGGGTAGTTGTGTTCCATAAAAATAGAATCTATTATCTGATTTTTCTTTTAATTTTAATTTTTTTAATATGAAAAGTGTGAATTTACCATATTATCCTCATTTAATTAATAATTTCAATTCTTAATGTTTGCATTAACCAAAGGCATTTTCTCGTATTTTGAATGTTTTACTATTCTCTGCCTTTTGCTTTATATATACTAGTCTCTCCGCACGCACTTCTGTGCCTGCGAGAGGCTTCTTTTTTATTTAAATTTTTAATTTATTTTAGAATTAAAAAAGATAATGGTTAGTTGTGTTCCATAAAAAGATGATCCATTATCTGAATTTTCTTTTAATTTAAAATTTTTTAATATGAAAAAGTGTGAATTTACCATATTATCCTCATTTAATTTATAATTTCAATTCTTAATGTTTGCATTCACCAAGGGTATTTTCAGGTATTTTGAATATTTCACCATTCTCTACCTTTTGCTTTATATATATAGATACTAGCCCTTTGCCACATGCTCACGCGTGTGCCAATTGGTTTTCTCTTTTCAATTTTTAGAATTAAGAAAAGAAAAAATGGGTAGTTATTTTCCATAAAAATATGATACATTATCTGATTTTGTTTTTATTTTTATTTTTTTTAATATGAAAAAAATGTAAATTTACCATATTATCCTCATTTAATTAATAATTTCAATTCTTAATGTTAGCATTAACCAAGGGCATTTTCTGGTATTTTGAATGTTTCACCATTCTCTGCCTTTTGCTTTCTATATATAGATTAGGTATGAAATAAAAAGATGAGGAAAATTTTAGAAAATATAGTTAGTGGAGTTTTTATTTTATTTTTATACAAACAATAATCCAGTTTTCTTTATCTATATATATAAAGCAAAAGGCAAAAAATGGTGAAACATTCAAAATACCAGAAAATGCCCTTGGTTAATGCAAACATTAAGGATTGAAATTATTAATTAAATGAGGATAATATGGTAAATTCACATTTTTTCATATTAAAAAAATAAAAATAAAAGAAAAATAAGATAATGAATCCTATTTTTATGGAATACAACTACCCATTATCTTTTTTAATTCTAAAATAAATTTACGCGCATGCAGAGAGGCTAGTTTTTATAATCATTCTAGGCCTACTCTGATTTTTATTTTTTAACAACAAATAGGATATTGGCACATGAGTTGATCTATAGTATTTTTTAATACTTTTTGTTAGGTTATTTTTAATTTAAATATTCACTAGCCTCTCCTTGTGAGAGGCTTTTTTTAAACAAATTTAAATTTATTTTAGAATTAAAAAAGATAATGGGTAGTTGTGTTCTATAAAAATAGAATCCATTATCTGATTTTTCTTTTAATTTTAATTTTTTTTAATATGAAAAAGTGTGAATTTACCATATTATCCTCAATTAATTAATAATTTCATTTCTTAATGTTCGCATTAATCAATGATATTTTCTGGTATTTTAAATGTTTTATCATTTTCTGCCTTTTGCTATGTATGTATGGATATAGATAATAATAAAATACTCCCTTTCATTGAGAAATTGTTATGCATAAAATCGACATTGTATTGAAATGTTATATGGCTAAAAAAATTAAAATGTTATGTTTCGAGAATGATAAATAAACGTTCATCTTAGAAACCATATATCATGCATAAACATGGTGTCCATGGAAGAATCCCATTGTGGAGGCTCATGACCAGCTATCAATCATAATATTTAAATAT